TTGTCAAAGACCCATTCAATGTCTTTTGTAGCATGGAAGGAAACTCCATTGTCAAAGACCCATTCAATGTCTTTGTCAAAATCACCCACTGACAGACAATATTTCTTGTACATCACCACACAAGACTGCAATGGAATTGCCAATATCATCTTTCTTCTGATTGTTTCCTTCATTTGCCATCTCTTTCAATTTCGACAGTTTTTCTTTGTATGGCCTTCATTGCCACAATGATGGCATGCACCTGGATTGGCTAGGATTTCTACCATGGCTTCTAGTCCTTCTACTTTTGCTCCTTCCATGGTTCTCTATAATAGATACTTAGCTGCTATCTGTGCCAAAACCTTTTTTTTTTTTTTTTTCATTAAGCATGCTACTTTTAACATTATAAAGAGTAAGAACACCATTAGGAGCATCGTTACTTACAATCACTACGAAAGTCTCCCAACTGTTTGGCAAAGATCCAAGTAATAAGAGTGTTTGCAGCTCGTCCTTAATTGTCATGTTCATAATAGCCAACTGGTTGATGATATTCTGAAAATTGTTCAAGTGTTCTGCTACACTTAAACCACCCTTGTACTTCACATTGATGAGATCATTGATCAAGAAAGCTTTCTAGGTGGGGGTCTTCTTCTCAAACGAGGACTCAAGCTTCATCCAAAACTCGCGGGCATTGGTTTCATTAGACACATGGTGAAAAACACAGTCGTCCACCCATTGTCTAGTTGTGCCAATTGCTTTTCGATTCATCTTTTTCCATTCGGCATTAGACATGCTCTTGGGCTTTGCGGCATCTCCTTCAATTGGCTCATGCAAATCCTTACAGTAAAGAATATCCTCCATCCTTGGCTTCCATGTCACCCAATTTGAGTTGGTGAGCTTGATCATAATGCCACTTCCTTCCATCTCGTAATATGAGCCAATCAGGCTCTGATACTACTTGTTAGGAAAGATGGTACTATAAGATAAAGAATACACAAAATAAAGTAGAAAATGGACACCAAGGATTTATGTGGTTCGACAATTTTTGCTTACATCCACGTAAAACAATCAATCTTTACTAAATGAAAATAATGAGTACACAAGAGTAACCTTGCCAAGACAAAGACAAGGCTTGATGAATACAAGAAAGCACATGTTTTCTCTCACACTAAGCTTCACTCACACAATATGTGTAGTGGAACACTCTTCACTCTCAAACTTGAAGTGGAACAACACTTACAACTCTCACTCTCACTCTTGGAGTGGAACACTCTTAGAAACCTCACTTTCACTTGGTTCTTGTCTTTCTTCGTTGGTTCATTGCAATACATACATACAGACCTATTTATAGGTGAGTTTATGCCGATTTACCCATTGACTTTGGGCTTGCATGATAGCCACAAAATTGTAGCTTCTAGATCTTTCCATTTGCAACCAAGGAAGCTAGTACTTTGTAGCTTTTTCCACCGACTTAATAACATGCTAGAATTGTCTAGCATGCCCCAGTCACCTCACTTGCTTACTGGAACAATCTAGAACATTCATCATAGGCTAGACCATATACCAACAGTAAGTTCCATTATGACACTTCTTGAAGGAGATGTAATAGTAACAGTTACTCAATTTATATCGGATTCCAACCTCGATCTCTGGAGAAATCTTTCAGTGTGATCGGTACACGGGATGGTACACCATGTATATTACTATATAAATGGTAGGATATGTGTGTTAAAATTTTAATAACTTAAAAAAATAAAATTTCCCACCACTTATATAAAAACATGTGATGTACCCTTCATGTTCCGATCACAATGAAAAATTTCTCTAACCTATGTGTCTAGGATGCACGAATATCTTTTTACGTCAAACTAATTTTTCTTTGGTACTATTTTTGCAGGCACTTCCAAAGGTGTTAGTCCAATTAAAATAGGTCAGAAGATAACCGCTGGCATAACGAAACCTCGTGGATGTTCAATTCATTATTGAAAAGCAGCAAAAGCAAGGAAGTTATTGAGCTTGGATTATCTACTTGGTGTTATCGCATTTGATAAGCTCCTGCAGGAAGAAGAATAATAATGTTAATGCAAACCAGAGAAGTTATTACTGAAACAAGAACCAGAGAAGTGGACTCGGCATGATGTAGGGGTGGGCAGGGGCCAGGCCGGGCCGGACCCTAATTTGAAAGAACAGGACTGGACCCATTTTAAAATTTAACGGGGCAGGCTGGGTCGAGTAATGCCAATTCTGAATTTGGAACCGGACCTAACTCGACACGTTTGAAACGAGCCGATTCTGGCCGGGTCCACGGGTCCGATTACAATTTTTTTAACTAGTCGTTCATCTTTCTTCGTCAATAACCTAGATGCTCAAATTTGAAGTAGTAGCATTAGGATAATCTGCAACAAGAATTTGAACGACTCATGGTTCTCAAAGCAGTAGTATTTTGATTGTTTTGGGATTTCCAGTATCTCCTACTACACCCACTTGCCTAAAAAAGGTTGACATGCATACAAATTAACCAAATGAATCGTATGAATTCAAATCCCAAAACCTCCAGTATCTCCTACTAAATCCGAAAACCTTTTTCAAAGGAAAACAATCATATAAATCGTTTGAACCCACCGTCTTCTCCGATCTTGAGCCTCGCCCATTGTCTTCTCCGATCTGTAACGAGCCATTTTGTCTCCAATCTGCAACAAGCCATTTTTGTCTTCACCGATCTGCAACAAGCCATCTTCGCCTGAGATTTAGGAGACGATGGTGAGGCGTGATGCCGTGGTGGCAGGTTGCTGTGCGATGTCGACGTAGTCGAATTCGAATTAACTAAGTCACTCTCATAAAGGTTTCTAGGTTTAAGAACGATGGTGAAGTGATGCCGTGACTCGTGTGGTGGTTGATGTGATGTCGCGGCGATCAATTCGAGGGGTGGGGGGAGAAAAGAACGAGAAAGTTGAGAAATGGAGAAACAAAGTGGGGGAGTTTAGGAGTCTCAAATGAGGGGATTTAATTAAATCATATAAAAATAAAAATGCTCTGAGAGGATGGTTCCAGAGACCTTGAGGGCCTCCTAAATCTGGTCCAATTTGGTGGGCAACCTTGTAAGTCGAGGGCCACGACGTCACACCAATCAAATCCATTATCCCATATGCTACAAACAGGCCAGGCCGGGCGCTCGTTCCTTCTTATTTTTGGACCCGCCCCACCCTGCCCTGTTTTGTGTTTCAAATTTTTGGACCCGCCGCGACCCACGGGTCCAGGACCCGTTTGCCCACCCCTAGCATGATGTAGCACAAACGGGAGGTGGTGCAGTCAATTTTAACATAAAAACTCAATTCAAGGATGTTCATTCGTTTTGTTCTTTACCATGTTGGGAGAGGTTAAAATCCAATGATTCTTCCACAAGTAACTTTTTTCTTTAAGAAAAAGAAAAAAATATATGCAAACAATTGTATACACGAAATTAAGGAGGGGATTTTGATGAGTCAATTTCATATTATATATTTTACCCTATTTTTAGTATGCTTTGGTAATTATTTTGATAGAAGTTTGATACTTTGAATTATATTTCCAATGTAAGACAATAGACTTCCTCTTGAGCAAAAAATGACCAAATGAACGAATTTTGGAGTGATTCCAATTGGAAGATGTTCGGGAGTCACTCAGCTAGTTCGTGTCAAACTTTTAGATTTTTCTACCGAGTGGATAATTCATGACGATGAAATAAAGGAGCAACATGCAGTGCTGTTAAAGTGACGTTTTGGGCTTATTTGGGCTTTTGGCGTCCAAGATGATGTCTTTTGGGTTTGAGGCCTTCTGCAATTATGTTCAGGACATCTCAAGCTTTACTTTGAGTCATTTTGGACCTATTTTGGAGCCCTCAATATCTAGAAACGTGGCTGTTTGTTGGCTGTGCAGATTTTGGGCAAATTTTAATAGTCAATTTAGGATTATGTTTCTTAATTTATTTTAATTTATTTGGTTTCCTAGTCTTATTCTAAGACATTTTCTAGTAAGGATTTTAATTGTGTAGTAGTATAAATAAGGCTTTTAGCCATTAGGTTTTTTGAAGAGGGAGACAGAAGAACGCATAAAACTTGGAGAACTTAGCTAGGGCTTTGACGATTTGTATTTTTCTTTCAAGATGTTTTTTATTTTTCTATTTTCAATAAAACTCCTTTTGTCTTATGGTTATTTGTAACTAATTTTCTTTTGCTAGGGCGAGACCACGAGCCTTAGCAATAATATGTAGTTTCTTTCCAATTTACTTATGATATTATGCATGCAAGGTTTGAATTATTAATCACTGGTTTAAACTATTTGATTGTCTTGATGCTTGATCACCATTGGGATGTTTAGAAAAGTAATTTGATGCAATTTTGGTTGGAGGTCGGTCCCTTAAATTGACGAAGGCTTCTTGTGGTTAATATGTGCAAGTTCATTTAAGATGAATACCATGTCTTAAGGGTTGCATGGTTTTTCAAAAGGTTTCACAAAACTTAATGAGTCATGCATGTTTAGATTTGATTTGAATACCACAGATGAGTTGCATGTTTGATATACGCTCTATGTTGAGGGTCCAAGTAGGCATACTTTAGGAAAACCTAACTTTCAAAAATACACATGTAAGTCATAAGTAATTGGAAAAACTATGTAGGATTGTTAAGGTGGCGGCAGAACTACTCTAGTGCTTTTACAATTTAATTTTCAAAAACCGATTTCTTTTAGTCTATATTATTTTGCCAATTTATTTAATTATTTCTATTAAATTTGTTTTTATTTTTTGAAATCACAAAATCAACTTTTTCCAAATCAACTTTGTTTTCAAATAATTAACTAAGATTTGATTTTGACATAAATTATTCATTCAATCTCTGTAGAGAACGATCTTATTAGAGCCGACTATACTGTGACTACCTTGTACTCTTGCAACTATTTTAAGTGTTTTTATTCTTATTTTGCAGGTGGTAAAAATCCTATCAACAAACCAACGTGGGTCGGTTTAGAGGGGGAAAACACAGTACTATAGCTAACTTGGTTAATACGAGAATCTGAACAAATAACTAAACAGAAAGAAGAAAACCATGGTCTGCAATGTGAATTATATTACATACACCTAGAAAACAATTTAAAAACCTGTTTAACAAGGAAATTGCAAAGAAATAAACGTGGGAATCTCCTCACACCAACAGCAATCACCACTTTTGTGATTCAATTTCTCGATCACTTTGTGCACCTGTGAAGGTCATACGACCACGAAGGGATCTCATCATCGTCATTGAGCACCGGTACTTCTTCCATCGTAGTTTGTTCATCTTCATTTTCAGCACCACCTACAGGAGGGTCTAAGACCTCATTCTCATCATCAACATTCCACCCCTCCACTCCTTCTGCTAATTCAGTAATTTTTTCGTATTCTCTGTCACCTGAATTTTGTGATTCCTCGTTGCCATACAAGTAAAAGGAGATGCACACGTAATAAATTACGTTAATGAGACTTAGGAATGTTAACCATTTGTAAAACTTGTCCACGTGACTCCTATTTATGCTGTCATCGAACCAAATTCGCCGGAACACCAAAATGCTAATGGCTGTAGTTATTTTTCCAACGCCAAGTGCGAAGTCAGTTAAGTGGGATGCATAATACCAAGCCCTTAGTCTATCAATATTAGCAATTCGATCAGCAAGGAAATCAATCAGTCCATCCTTGGCCAGCCCTTGCATTAGTCCCAGCAGGAAAAACTGCGGAACCAGCCACAAAATGCTCATAGAAGTAGCCTCAGAAGTATCATATTCATGCCACCGCTCATTCCTAACTAACTTCAACCTTTTTCTCTCAACCTGCCATGCAGCAGCACAACATAGCACGGAACAACCCAATCCCAAGCCAATTCTCACCAGCATAGCGTTTGGCCACTTCTTCGGAACTAGTAACTCATACAGAAACGATACCAAGAAACACGAGAAGGAACCCAATACTTCGAAATAAATTGGCTCTACCTTCAATGATTTAAATTTATTATCCAAGTTACTCATTTGTTCGAAAAAGAACGTACTACCTGTTGCCTCCACCAAACTGTATGCTAAAAAGGTCGACCACATAGCTATCACTTCTATGAAAAACCACTTTCCCCCCTTGAGTTTTATGGGTAGCCATAACTTTTTTCTCTGTTCTTCTTGTCCTCCCAACGGCGACGAGTGGGCAAATCTGGTGACCATGCAAATCTCTCCTCCTCTTTGTTGTTCTACTGGATAGAGGATGGCTAATTTTTCAATATATTTAAGACGAGATCGCCAATTAGATTCATCGATTCTACTTCGTACGAAGTAGCAGGAGTATCCAAGAAAGAACACTAGATAAGAAGCTCCCACTAAAGTTGCTGAAATAAAAAAGGTACGTGTCCAAGACACGGTTGAAAGGAAAATAGATATGAATGCACCTAAAAACCAGGGATGGGACCACAAAGTTTTTTTTCGAGTTTCCAGACGTATTAAGTAATTTTCATCTGAGGATGGTGTTTGTTTCTGTTCACTGAAGTATTGATCGTCAAGAAATTCCTGCAAAGTAGCCGATCGACCAGCTTCGCCTAATACTAACAATACGGCTGCTCCATAGTATACCTTAGCCGAAGTTTGTGCACTCGTGAACTTAGAACAAATCCATAATAGAAGAAGTCCCTACGTATACGTGCAACAAATTAACACATAGCAATCCAAAAATTAAGCATATATGTACATTTTTGTATTATCAATTCGTGAGCTAATATGACACTGATCACTCTCCAACGTGTAATTTATGATCTCAGCCTTTCAATGTTTAGGTCACAATTAAATATAATTTTTATGGAAAAATAATTTTTGTTGCAGTCATATTTAATATAAGAATGTGATTGTATAAATCATAATATATTTGGAATATCTTAATAAAAATCTCTAGGGATAGAAATTATCCTATTAGGGTAAGGAATTGACCTTTATAAATAAAGGCACAATGGGTGGAATGTAACACACCTCACAATTAAATCTTGGGAACTTTAACGAAAAGCACCCGGTACTGTTCACTTTAACGAAAAACCACATTTTTACACTAAAAAGTCAATCCTGGTACTATTCAGTTTACCTTTTATTTTGTCCTTATCATTAAAACTCAAAGTTTTAAAGCCCTTTTCATTAGTTTTCCTTTAAATCTTTCTATTCTCTCTCTTGCCACCGGCCCCCTCTCCCTAGATTATCCTAAAATATTGTATGAGTGAGGATATATGGGCTTTAGATGTAGGACATGGTAATTTTTTTTGTTTGGTACTGATTAACTAGTTATGCTTGATCAATAAAAAAAAGTTAGTTATGCTGGAGAGACTAAGCATAAGCCTAAGTTTGGTCCCGCCCTTGTTTATATGATCACAATTATGTATAATTAAACGATTTTAGATTTTTTATTTTTTTAAATAGATGATCCTTGAATTCTGACCTACAATATTAACAGTTCATTTAGAAAGTGAAACTAAATGAATGGTTAGACCTATATTAAATTTTGAAGAAGGCTTACAAGAAAATAAGCAGCATTTGTGGAGACAATCATTTTAAAACGACTCTTGTGTGTGTCTGATATATGAGCAAGACCAATAACCGTGACGGCTGTAAACCCATCTTGTAGATTGGTAACTAATGCAGCCATTTCAAAGTGTTCGGTACTCCATACGTCCGTCAAGTACGTTACCAAGATACCCACTATTGCATGATTTACGAAGCTGTGGCTGAAAACCAAACCTATTTATATATGTCATCACAAAGAAACAAGAGAGATCAGAAAGTTGGTTTGAATTAATTCCCGAATCTGCAGTAATGAAGTTCCGTTTCTCTTATTTCGATAGAGATAATATCTTGTAAATCAGAAAAATTAGTTGTATGTTTTATAGAAAAACACTTCAGGTGCTTAATTAATTGGAGAAAGAAAAAACCCCGCATCTATTCACTTGTCATAAAGAAACCCTGCATCTATTCACTTGTCATGTCATAAAAAACCCTGCATCTATTCACTTGTCATACTCTGATTGATTTTTTAGATGTAAAATTCCTTCGATTTTGCATAGCAAATTGATTTTTTTTTCTAAAATATTTAGTTTCAAGTGTGTGTGTGTGTTTTAAAGTATAATGTTATCAAGATTTATATGTGAATTCGCCGCCAAATTAGGTTAGCCATTGTGTGATTTACCAGAAATCTCTTTCCCCTTAATGTAAAAATATATCGATGTACTAAAAAAATAAAAAATTCAATAGAGATTGATCAATGACCCTCACCTCGAATGCATGTAGTAGCCTTGGAGAAGTAGAAGTGGTTTCCGAGCCACTTTCTCACTATATGGCAGCATTTTCCGGGAAAAACGTTGTAATGACCCCACTTAATTCCTATCTGAATGAGCCACTGAACCGTTCCTTCTGACAATGCCGACACAGTTCTGGAAAATCTTCCCATGGCAAGCAAAACCTGCAACCATAGCTTCCAAAAGAAATATTACTTGAGAGTGTAGTATATATATTGCATACTCACTGCTACAAAAAGGCAATAGCCATCGTTGCTACTGCCACAGTTCAGTAACTGTGACTTCTATTGCTCAGAGAATCGGAACCTTGTATATTGGAAATATGAGGCCCATACAACATCTGTGGTATAAAGTGTTAGACACAGATCACCCTCAATGTATGTACCACAATTAAATATATAATTAAAGATCGATAAGGATATCGAACACAAAAAGAAAAAAAATATATATATTGGATTGCACAAGTAATTAGGTTGGAAATAATATTGGTGAACCGCTGGCACCTCTTTGTATTTTTAACATATTGCTTCTATAAAATATAAAAACAGAGGCTATCACTCTCTAATACATGTAAATCACACTAAAATTGTAATTTCCACCCTGTATTGTAGGGTCTGTCAGCAATTTGATCAAATTTGTGACAATCTATATTGGAGAGAATCTGATCCAAGATATTCATGACTCATTGAGTCCCTCCAAACCCTCAAAAACCTAACTCTATTCTCTTCCACTTTTAATCTTGATGCCTTGGTGTATTGACACAATTTTTCAAGCAATACATGTAAAAATTATTATTGAGGGAGATCTAGATGAGCTATGCCAACTTTTTTTTCTCGAGAATTACTTATGATTTCTCGTATTTTAAGAACCATGGATTCCAAAATTGTTCAATAAACCAGTATTAAACATATCTACACATGTTCAGTGAAATAGAGATCACGATTGGAGATGCTCTTAACATTTAACTAAGAGTAAACAATTGATTTTTTCCCTGAATTAGTACATGAGCGACGTTCCTAAATTATTTTTTTCGATAAAATAAGTCCTTAAATTGATTAAAAGTTGCCACTTAGTACTATGGTTTAGTGATCTTCCTCTTCACTTGTAAGTGAGAGGTCTTAGGTTCGATTCTCGCCAAAGGCGAATTTGAACTACATTATTGCTAGCCCACCCCCACTATAAGGTTTAGCCCACTCCCTTCTCCCTTAGTGTAGATAATATCGTTTCTTCAAGAAAAAAAAATCATTAGAAGTTGCCAATTTCATCCATACTGAAGGTTTTAAAGTTATTCTATCCAATTCTCGTGAATTTAAGTTGTGTGACGTACACGTGACACACTTCAGGAGTGTATATCATCATTTCTCACCCCCAAAGCACTTAATGTTGCATATACCATATAGGTTCTGTATAGTTACTATATCGCTACATAAATATATACAAGTTCATAAGTAGAGATAAAAATAAGATCTTAGAAAAAAATATTGCAAGCAATTTGTATCGAAATGTTATACTGAGGGGAATGTAAAGCATGATTATGGTACCGGTACACTTTGTCCTACTAGATTAATCTCATACCCAATTTTTGTAAAAAAATTAATCTAATTTAAATTCCTGATTAATTAACTAACTACAGCAGGGAAGATCATATAAAGTTTGTAAAAGATGCATGCCTAGTTACCTCCGACAATAGTCAAACGTTAACTTACAATTGACGGCACCAAATGACTCTTCACTGTGCTACTCCGAGTGCAGATGTGGAGAGAGAGAGAGAGAGAGAGAGAGAGATCTACTATTACTATACTCGACAATTCAAGGAAATTTTGTTTCAGGCAGTCTAAGGCTGCGAGAGGGTCCTAAGCTAAGGATTTATATGAGATTGGAACGGGAAGCATCCAAAAAGAATGACCTTTTTAAGAAAAAGAAAGAAAAAGAAAAAAGAAATTGAAAAACAAGATGCAGACTTTTCAAGATGTTTTCATTGGAGGATTCGCTCCGAATCCTTTTATGAGGATCCTGAGGATCTTTAAATTGTATCTGTTCATTGTATATTGTATGATCAATTTTCGTTAAATATTATTTATATTTAATTTTAAATAATTTATAATCACATGATATACAATAAACAAATACGATTTAAAGATTATCCTCACAAAAAAAAAATCCTAAAATCTTCACAAAGATGATAGTGTTATAAAAATGTAAAAGTTAGAGAGATAACCTTTATAGTGAGTGGAACGAAGTAGAGGTAAAATATCACACTGTAATTAAAACACAACGAGATGGCAAATTAAAGAGGGAGGAATGGATGATATTATTGATCTGTTTTTCCGTATGTTGTTTGTTGTAGCTGGAGCGCTCTATTTATTGAGCGGCTCCATACACACAATTTATTACAATTTGAAAATTTACATTGCATCCTTTGACAAACACACATTTTGTTTCCATAGTCTGTGTCAACATTCATGAACATTGACAATAATAATGCCATTGTTGAATATCATCCTGCACACACTTGAATAATCTTCCAAGATCTGTATGGGCATTCACTTCTCACTAGTATTTTCAACACTCCCCCTTGGATGCCCACATATCAACATCAGTTGCCTCGTTAAAACCTTGCTTGGAAAAACCCAGTGGGAAAAAACCATAGCGAATGAAAAAGAGTACAACTTTTCTTGGATTGTTGATATAGTGTTCAGTATGCTTATGTTGCCTCGTTAAAACCTTGATAGGAAAAACCCAGTGGGAAAAATCCTAATCGAAGGAAAAAAGAGTACAACAAGTATGTATCATGGATGCTCCCCCTGAGATGTATCTCCCCCTGATTCCGCATTCTCCAAACTTAGTTGTTTGGTAAGTCGACGTAATCCGATACTTTGCACTAAATTCTGAAACGTGCATTTTGGTAGGGACTTGGTGAACAAGTCTGCCAGATTTTCATTAGAACGGATTTGTCTGACTTCAATAACTTTAACCTTCTGAAGCTCATGTGCACTGAAAAGCTTTGGAGATATGTCTTTAGTCTTATCGCCCTTGATGAATCCTTCCTTCATTTGGGCAACACAAGCTGCATTATCTTCATGAATGACAGTTGGATTATCTGTCTTCAAAGTTAGACCACATGAATTCTGAATATGATGGATCATTGATCTTAACCAAGAACATTCACGACTTGCTTCATGTAAAGCAAGTATTTCTGAATGATTTGAAGATGTAGCAACTAAGGTTTGCTTTGTTGAGCGTCATGAGATTGTTGTATCTCCATTCTTGAACACATATCCAGTTTGTGAACGGGCTTTATGCGGATCAGAGAGGAAACCAGCATCTGCATATCCAACAAGGACCTGGTCATTTGTGGAGTTTTTTTAGTAAAAGAGACCTATATCTGTTGTCCCACGAAGGTATCGCAATACATCTTTGACACCCTTCCAATGACGGATTGTTGGAGCAGAGCTATACCTGGCTAACAAGTTGACTGAAAAAGCTATATCTGATATAGTACATTGTGCTAAATACAACAAAACACCTACTGCACTCAGATATGGTACTTCTGGACCAATGACCATTTCATCATCTTCTTTTGGACGGAATGGATCTTTCTTAATGTCCAGAGAATGAATGACCATTGGTGTGCTGAGTGGATAAGCTTTATCCATGCCAAATCGCTTCAGAATTTTTTCAATGTAAGCTGATTGGTGGACCAAAATTCCACTAGCACAATGCTCGATCTGTAGGCCGAGACAATATTTTGTTTTCCCAAGGTCTTTCATTTCAAATTCGCTTTTCAGATATTCAGCAGTTTTATGGAGCTCTTCAGGAGTTCCAACTAGGTTCATATCATCAACATATACTGCCACTATAGCAAATCCAGAGTTGGATTTCTTAATGAATACACAAGGGCAAATGACATTGTTGATATATCCTTCTTTGATCAAATACTCACTGAGGCGATTGTACCACATTCGTCCAGATTGTTTCAGCCCATACAATGATCGCCTTAATTTGATCGAGAGCATACCTCGTGGTTTGTTACTTGTTTCAGGCAACTTAAGTTCTTCTGGGACTTTCATGTATATGTCAGTATCTAATTCTCCATATAGATACGCAGTGATGACATCCATAAGTCGCATGTCAAGCTTTTCTGAAACCACTAAACTTATTAAGTAATGGAACGTAATTGCGTCCATTACAGGAGAGTATGTCTCCTCATAATCAATTCCAGGTCTTTGTGAAAAACCTTGTGCAACGAGTCGTGCTTTGTATCTAGCAATCTCGTTTTTCTCATTGCGTTTCCTTGTGAATACCCATTTGTAACCCACGGGGTTTACATCATGCGGGGTCTGGACTACTGGTCCAAAAACACTTCGCCTTTCCAAGGAATTTAATTCTGCCTAGATTGCATCTTTCCACTTAAGCCAATCTTGTCTCTGTTTGCACTCATCAACAAAGTGGGGCTCAATATCATCACTTAATATGATTTCAGTGGCTACTGCGAATGCGAACATATTATCAATGATTATTTCATTCTGATCCCACAATTCATTAGTACATGCATAATTTATAGAGATTTCTTTGCTTTCATGTACTTCTGTCTCTTCAGGGACATATATCTCATCGAGGATATTTTCTTTTTCTGGAAGTCCAGAATCATGAATTGTGGATTTGTCATTCATTCATTCTCTATTCCTGAATGATTTCATTTGGATTCAGTTGTGCCCTTGTCTTTCTCTTTCGAGGGGCTGAATCTTTTGAACCGGGTGGTCTACCACGCTTCAGGTGTGCACCAGATGAATCATTCGTTGCCACTTTATTTTGTCCAACAAAGACATCAATTCTGGCAGGTGCATTTGCAGCTTGTATAAGCGATTTTGTCACTTTCATAGCATCATTAAATGCATTTGGCATTTGATTGGCAATGCTTTGAAGATGAACGATCCTCTTTACTTCATTTTCACATTGAATGCTTCGAGGATCAAAATGAGACAAGGTGGGAACAACCCATGTCAGCTCTTTCCGTTCTTCTAGAATGGTCTTTTCTCCCCCTAACAATGGGAAGACTGTCTCATCAAAATGACAATCAGCAAAACGAGCTGTAAACATATCACCTGTCAAGGGTTCCAAATATCTAATGATAGATTGTGAATCAAAACCCACATAAATTCCCATTCTAAGACTCTACGCTGAGGTCCCATTTTAGTGCGTTGATGGGGTGCAATAGGCACATAAACAGCACAACCAAAAACTCGTAAATGTGAAATGTTTGGCTGATGTCCAAACACGAGTTGTATTGAGGAGTATTGGTGGTTGGCTATAGGTCTCAATCGAACCAATGATGCAGCATGTAGGATGGCATGTCCCCATGCATAAATTGGCAATTTGGTTTTCATAAGCAGAGTGCGGGCTATTAACTGAAGCCACTTGATCAATGCTTCTACTAAACCATTTTGAGTATGGACATGAGGAACAGGGTGTTCAACATCAGTGCTCAATGTCATGCAGTAATCATCAAAGGTTTGAGACGTAAATTCACCAGCGTTATCAAGTCGGATTGACTTAATGGGATAATCTAGGAACTGTGCTCGTAACTTAGTTATCTGAGCAAGAAGTCTCGCAAAAGCTACATTCCGAGTAGACAAAAGACAAACATGTGACCATCTGGTGGATGCATCAACCAAAACCATAAAATATCGAAATGGTCCACAAGATGGTTGAATAGGTCCACAAATATCCCCTTGAATTCTTTGCAGAAATGATGGGGATTTAGCATCAACCTTTAGTTGTGATGGTCTTATTACCAATTTCCCTTGAGAACAAGCCTTGCAAGGGTTATCATTTGAGATAGCAATGTCTCTGCTTAATAATGAATGTCCATTGTAATGATCCTACGCATCATGGTGGATCCTGGATGACCCAGACGGTCATGCCAAAGCATGTAAACTTTTGAATCAATGAACTTCTGGTTCATGACAGTATGTGATTCAATTGTCCTTATGTATGTATAATATAATCCACTCGAAAAACCACGCAACTTCTCCAATATACACTTCTGGGTATCATTGGAGGTAATGCATAGATACTCCATATTTTCTGCACTTTTCGTTTCAATATGGTATCCATTTAGACGTATGTCTTTGAAACTCAACAAATTTCGAGTAGATCGAGTAGCATACAATGCATTTTTTATGGACAATATTGTTCCATTTGGTAACATAATCTGGGCTTTCCCTGAGCCTTCAATCACATTTGAATGTCCTGATATTGTTGTTACCCCTACTCTTGTAAGCATTAAGCTTGAGAAATACTTTCGATCACGAAGTATTGTATGTGTGGCTGCACTGTCTGCAAGACAAATATCTCCGCCATTTCTCATGTTCTGAAAATAACCACATTTTTATCCATGCTTTCTGAGTAAATGGAATCACAGTTAACAAACAATTTACGACAGGAAATTTACATGCCACTTTTATTGAATCTGAAAAACTAGTTTTAGACAACAAGTTCAACATAATAAAAGTACATCAAATATAAACGATTTAGTCGGACCATTATACTTCATTCCCCCTTTCCATAATGAAGTCTGAAACATTTAGGTGAGTTGTGTCAAATTGCCCTGATAAATCAAACACTGGATCAGGTATATCCATTGGTTTAGCCTGGTCGAGAAAATTGGTCTCGACACCCTTCTCTTTGAGGGAGGCTTGATACAACTCCACCAGATGTTTTGGGGTACGACAAGTTCGCGCCCAATGCCCATTGCCACTACACCTATGGCAGGCTCCTTCAGAGTTCCTGAGAGCATTGGTCATGTGAGCTTTGCCTTTGTGACGATTCACATTTTTGAAGCTCGGGCCAAAATTATGCCTCGGAACCTGGTTGTGAAACT